GATAAAATTCCCCCAAACCGATGGGAAGAGGTCTGTCAACAACCCCTTCTCAATAACAAATGGTTGACTGACTCACAAGGGAGGATGTTTCACTGTATGGATTCTCCCTGGAGGGGCTGGGTAAAAAATGAGATCCTAGGGATTGGGGACATATGAAACTTAGGAACTCGGGACTGGTACTCGCTCTCTGACCTCTTGCCTAGTTTGCATTACTGCAGGAGAATAGGAAGAGCACTAAGATACGATCACTGAAGTCATTATGATCGAATGGACAAGGATCCTCAGAAAAGGACCACAACTCAAAGAAAGTGATTGGGTGGGTATCCAAGGAAGCCCCAACAAATAGGAAATGTGGTAGTAGTGAATGACGAGGGATCAATTTGACTCTCCTTATTCTCAATTAATCTGAAAAATCAGCTAATTGAAAGTCAAACTAAGGAAACCAAATGGTTCAATATTGACCAGGTATTTATGATTAGCGTTTTAAAACACAAAGACAATTGAATTGCTTTCAAAGTTCAAACCATCATGATGTGCAATCAACAAATTGGCTCTAGATCTCATTTACTGGTCATGGACGGTCCCTATGGGGAAAGTTTAACGCAGAAAGTGCACTCGCAATATCCACTCTCTAACGGTCAGATCAACTTACTGTATGTTGAAGCCTAGACTGGATCTGAAAGATCGAGCAAAAACCAGATGGATGAAACAACTAAATGGAAGTAGGAAGATTTGAGACATGTCAAATGGTTCAAAACTATTAAGATTAAACCGACAAAAATTGCCTCCTTACAGTAGCAAATGGACCATAGATGCCTTCCTACGAATGATTGGCTAATAGATAGGACCTCGTTGGAGGAGAAAGGCATTCAATTTTTACTCTACCTTGGTGCAAGTTATGCTCCTCTGCGTTCCCATCTAGGACCATTCCGGAAACCATCGAGCATATCTTTCTTCAATGCCATATTGCAGTCTGGTTATGGCGATGGTGGGACAGGATTTGGAGTTCCTTCAACACCCCTCGAACTTGGCCTTGGGACTGACGCTGTGTTACTGCGCGTTCATTGAACGCGCGTTTCGCGTTCAGGGTATGAACGCTGTGAACGTGTGTTCACTGAGCGCACGTGAATGCGTTTGACGTGTTTGCGCAAGGGGTTGTGCGGGGGGGGGAGGGGCTTTGGGCAGTGCGGGGAGCGGCGGCGGTGCTTGGGGGGGCTGTGGGCCGAATACCCATGTGAAACGAGAAAAAAAAAAAACTGTGTGTGTGTGAACTTGTGTGTGTGTGTGAGTGTGTGCACGTATGTGCGTGCGTGTGTGTAAAAGGTCCTTTTTTTTTTCGAGGGGGTGGGGGAATCCCCGAAACACAGCTCAGACAGCCCATGCAGGCTATCTGAAGGGTTCTCGCAGCCATGTAGCGCAGACCCCCCCACCAAAATCAAGGCAGGCAATGAATATGAAGTAGAGCAGGAGCTGGCCGAATATATACTCAAGATTCGAATTCAGATCTGTGTTGCAGCAGTTATGGGTTGCTCACGTAGCTAGGTCATGTTGGTCTCAGCACGTGATTCTCGTTTTTCTTTTCTTAGGAATACTTGGAGTGACCCTAAGGGCCTCTACTCACCACATGCACAAAAGACAAAACATATGGCGGCGTATTATTCCATGTTCTGCAGAAGATTCATTCTAGTTTTCACATTTGGTGAGTAGTGCAGCCAAGCCCTGAGAATCACGTGCTGAGACCAACACGGCCTAGCTACGTGAGCAACCCATAACTGCTGCAACACAAACCTGAATTCGAATTTTGAGTATATATTCGGCCAGCTCGTGCTCACTTCATATTCACTGCCTGCCTTGATTTTGGTGGGGGGGTCTGCGCTACATGGCTGCGAGGACCTTAAAGATAGCCTGCATGGGCCGTCTGAGCCGTGTTAGGGGGATTCCCCCACTGCGTCCCCCCAAAAAAAGGACCCTTCACATATGGTGGGGGGTGACGCGGTAGGGGGGGTGGGCCTCCAGGTTTTTTTTTTTGCACTTTCGGGCCTCGTTGAACGAGGCCCACCACCCCGTGGTCCGCGACGCGCGTGCGCCCTCCAGGGTCGCGTTCAATTTTTTCGCGCCACGTGGCACGCAGCGCGTTTGAACGCGATTGAACGTGGCCCCGGGGGGTATGAACGCGCACGTTTGAACGTGAATGCGCGTTCAGCGCATTCAACCGGTTGCACAGGACTGGCGAGCTCTGTTATGCGAGACATGGTCTCCGGATCAACTAGATGATTTCTCTCAAAACCTATTTATAACCGGTAGAAGAGTCATTCTTTGGGCCCTCTGGCAACGTCGATGTATTTTTGAAATGGAGGGAGTTAGGCTGGATGGTCCAGATTTTACTGAGACGATCAAACTGCAGGTGCAAACTGTTATCACAGCTGAATGGGACAAAGTAATAGAAAAAATCCAATTCCTGTCAGATAAAAAAGAAATCCAACAACGTATCCAACTATTCAGTGGCGCTTGGCTAGGGGGGCCTCAAGGAGGTAAGATTGGATAGATCAAAGAGAGCGGGGGTAGAAGAGAGAACAGAGAAGAGCATAGCTAAGAAATTCAAAGGGACTACCGACTGACATTCCATGATTGGACAAATGTGGACCCAACAGTACCCCATCTCCCTCTATCAGAGTTCCCAGATCCCTTCCCCCCTTCATTATCCCTGGTCCCCATAAGTTGGTTTGGCTGCGAAGGAGGAGGAAATGCTATTAGTATGCGGTACTGACAGCCATACAAGGCCGAAGAGGCTGATTACAAAATTTGTAGTTGGATGGGCTGGAAGGGTAGCAGAGCTATAGAATGGGCTGTTTCAGTATGACATGGCCGTTAGGGGGACTAGAGAATGTTTTAGGATTCAGGGGCTGCTATCAACTTTTCCTGGGCTACTTTGAAGTTAAGCTCAGCGATCTGTGGTTGTTCGATGCCAGAACGACGCTGGCCGGTGCTGGGGTGTCGCCCTGTAACCTGTTGACGCAGGACCGTGAGGCCTGGTAGAGAGATCTAGGGATGCCTTGGGGTGGGCATCCCACGGGACAACCAAGGTTTGCTGCTGGGATGACGCTGGCCGGAGGTGGGGTGAGTTGTGTTGGCCTGTAACCCAACACAAAGTGGGGGTGTGAGGCCTGGAAGAGCTCGGCATGGAGTAAGACAACTCTGAGGAACTGTGGAAAGGTTTGTTAGGGAGTTCGAGAGTTTTGGAGCTTCTTTTAGGACTCCGGTGGTCTATTCTAAAAAGAAACGAGGTGAGTGGGAGAAGGAGATGGTGGGATATCATGCGTCCTACTAGTGAGGGGGCTAGCTGGTAGGATTGAAATAGGGTATAGCAGCAGTAGAGATGGTGGCTCTGCTGCAGTAAGTCTTGCCGGAGTGAGGTACAGAGGACTGATGGTTTTTTTTTTTCTGAGTTGCCTTTTGAATTCTGCTTATTCTTGAAGCCTGTTGTAGTTATTTCCTAAGTAGCTCCAACGTTTTAAGCCAAAAAAGAGAACGGGTGAGTGAGGAAGGAGATGGTGGGATATCATGCGTCCTACTATATGGCCTGAGTTATCGAAGAGACTGGGAGGGTGCTACGGTGAACGGGACCCGGAATCAAGAAGACGGGGAATACGGTAAAAAACGACGAACGAATGGCAGCGCAATCTGGACTGGTGAACAAGGCCCCGGATGAAAGGGGGATTTCGAGCAGATACTCGAAGACAGAAGACGCGCCAGCTACGAAGTCAGTTCCGAGCCTACAGAACCTTTCGGGAATCGGTATCCTCCACCGATAATGGTACTATTCATTTGAGGCTGTTTCTTGACGCCTTTTCGGAGGCAGCCCACCGTTTTTTCCACGACTTGCTTTCCCAACGTGTTTTACATGTGTTTTGCTCACGCATGGATGTGGCCTGGAACCTGTTTTGGTTCAATTTCAATTTCTTTGAAACCGTGAATATTAGAGACAATTTTATGACGAATAACTATTTTCCTTTGCATTTTCCCTCTCAATTGCTGCAGACGACCGAGTCTGCGATGGATAGATCAGGCGGGAAATAAGGAGAATGCTAGTAGAATAGCTTTCGTAGAGAGATATAAGGAACAGGAAGCGTACGTTTCTTTCAAACTGAGCAGTTGTGAGGTAGAAGGTCTGTAGCATGTAGTACTCTCGGGCACCACAGGCTGTTTCAACGATGTAGTAACGCTGTGAAAGTTAAACCTCTGCTACATTATTTTCCGAGTTATCACTCTTTCTCGAGCTAGGCGAACGACCTGTTGCGCGTGGGAACGCTCGCCTAGTGCCGCCGGCATGCGTAGCCAGAGGACGACGTCCCGAGCATCGCTTTCGCCGAGTGTGCGATCTCACATTAAATCTATCATTTCTTAATATTTCTTAATATATCTTAAATGTCTTAATATTTTGTGTAAACCTCGCGATTTACCTTTCTTCGTTGTGAAGTTATAAGTGTAACTACCCCACGAAGAGGAGTACTATCGGCATTTGATTTTTTTCTATTCTTACTCGTATTCGTCGGCTCGTACCAAGATCGTAGAAGGCGCTTCAACGAAAGAAGAGTTGTATGAACGGGAGAGGCAGGGGTCGCGGAAGAGGACGCTGGTCAGGGTGCAGGAGGTACTGGGAGTTTAACACTCCATCCAATGTTACTCCGAATGTCGGCGCCGTACAAGCACCGACTCCGAATGGACAGGGGATTGCGCACGCACCAACAGCGTTTGCTCCTACCATGCTTCATGCGTATCCGTACGGCTGGATGCAGCCTCCTCCTGCTGCTCCACCCCCTCCACCTCCTCCACCTCCTCCATCTGGATAGGTGATTGCGCACGCGCCAACAACATATGCTCCACAAGCACCTTGGCCCTACGGGTTTCCAAACTATCAACAACATCCGAAACCAACAGCCAACTCGCTCCCTGCTCCAGGGAACAGAGCGTGGTTTACGAGAGAGCACCTCGAGTTGATCGAGAAATGGAAAAGTCAGGATGCGGAGGAGTCGTCGATGAAGAAGGATGCAGATTTGGAAAGTAGCAAGAACATCGCTTTGAAGAAGGCGAAAGGGAAGGTTGCTTCCAGTAACGAGGATGGGGAATCGAGTCTGAAGACATGGATGGCCGAGAACTTTGGCGCATCACTAAAACGGATCGCCGATAAGCTTGAAGTCGTCGACAAGAAAACGAAGGCTGCCGACAAGCATCAAGAAGAACTAGCGAAGAAGATCAAAGAACTGCACGAACGCAAGAACGAGTCAAGGAGCAACGAGAAGAGGAAGAGGATAGTGGGGAACAATTCGCATGCAGAACGACTGAGATCGAAGTCGAAATCTCGCAGCGGCGGGGTGAAAATCAGGCAACCCAGGATTCTATTGTCATCAGATGAAGAAAACTCAGAGAAATGCGCTCAGAAGGCCCTGATTGAAGGGCAACCCAATGCGCAACCAAGCAACGAAGTGCAATTGGAGGATATAATAAAGATGCTTGAGATTATGGCATGGAAGATATCACGAGGTGCAGAAAACGCGACATCAGACCACAAGATGGATGACAAGGGGAAAGGGAAGATGTCAGTCATCGCGAAAGAAGATACTCCGGTGGTAGAAGGAGAAGACTCCGACGATGAGAGCGAGAAACGAAAGATCAACCGGAACACCAACTGCAACGCCGACGCCAAGGAGACCGGCATCATCGAGTACATGTGACAGAGACTGGACCACTACATGGAGATGACGGGGAAGAAAGTGAAGAGCATCTGCATAAAGAGGGACATCAAATGGGAGAGGAAGGACAAATGCGCATGGGAACTAGCTAAACAAGACACGAAGAATCCACTCGACTGCTGAACGGAGACGAGTGTCCAGAGGACTCTGGCCAGGAAGAAGATGACGATGGAACTGAAACTGAACGCGAAGACACCGGCGACGTGCCGTGGAACTAACTTGGAGTCGGAGGAGCTGTTTGAGAATTCTGCGAAGGATTAGCTCTGTGATGGCAGAGCAAGATGGAGACTGCAGAAAAGAGTTTAACTTGGAACGCGCTTTCACGATGGGGACTATGCTTGCTTGCGCGATGGGTTTCTTAAAATGGGGTTCGACCTTTATGAAATACTGGAAGAACTTGCCTGTTAATTGCCTTTCTAACGATGATATTGGTTGTTGTGTGTACCTACTAATATCACCGTTTTGCAAACACGTATATGTTGGTCAAACTAGTAGGCGGTTGTGCGAAAGATGGAAATAACATGTGAGATCTACATCCAATCCCACCTATAAAGTCCATAAGTGGCTTGAAAGAAGAGGAATACATTCTTATTGTGCTATCCCACTATGATGTGGACGAGAATGCGATCTGCGTACGATCGAGAGAAAGATTATTGCAGATGAGAATCCTGACATCAATACAAGAAAAACCAAGGCCAGGAGAAAGCCACGAAGAACCATAAGGAAAGGAAATGTGAAAAGGCATGTACCTGGCAACCGATTACCTTTGCTTATGATCTGCCTGGCTCAATGGAACAAAGAACTAATCTAATGTGTTTGTTAAAGTATGTGAAAGGCAAAAAGAAACTTGTATTAATCTCGAGCTCTGGTGGGACTCGATGGGTTAACTCATGGCGCCTCATCAGACTCATGTACGACGAGTCCAAATTCAGAGACTGCGCAGGGTCCTACCTATTGAAAGATATGAAACATATGTTCAAAACTGGTGGCGCGTGGGAACTAACCTGCTTAGTAAGAACCGAATCCGAATCTGAAAAGAAGAAAACAAAACTCATAGGCTTACTCGGAGCACCATGGAGGAGAAGGACATTTTTGGAGGGGAAGAATGTGGTTGAACTCGTGAACCTTCCGAAAGGAATGAAGTGTATTAACACGAAGCGGGGGAGACAGATTGTCAGAAGCCTGATTGCGAATGAATTGAAGAAGAGACTAGGATTTAACCCTAGAGAAATGATGAATGTTAAGATACCGTTTTGCTTGAGTATAGACAAAAGTGCCGTGACAAAAGAAGTATGCGAGTGGATTGCAAAGAGAGTCAGACCTGAGGAATTGGGCAACCTGATGCAGAGAAAACTGCGAGTGGTTTGGACTAAAGCCAAATCAGTTGCAGATATCTTGCATAACCATAAGGTAACTGCGTCGGAGATTGCTCCAGAATGTCAGTGCCACCGGTTCGAACTGCCCAAAGAAAACGGGCATGTACAGGTTAGGCTAAACGAAATCCCCGGGGTTGAAACCTTTTTGCACAACTCGAGAAACATACCGTTTCCCGAAAAAATTGCGAATTTGAACAGCATCAATGAGGCTTGCCGGTCTGCTCTGACCCCTTTGACTAAACTTGGCATTTCAGATGTGTTCCGAATAAATCCATTGAAGATCACAAGAACAGGGATTGTCGTCCCCACCGGGACCATCACCACCGAATATGCTACAAGCGTCAAAGGGGCTCTGCAGGGACTCACTCTTTCCCCTCTTGATTGAAACCCAGGAGCAACACTGGTGGAATACCCTGTACTGTATGTCGGTGGGATGCGAAAACCTTTAATGATAACGCTGATTTTGAGAAGATCGGTAACGATGAGCAAGGAGTTCTTAGTGGGATGCTAAAGGAATTCAAGATATTGAAGCTGGAAAAAATTGGAAGATGAGACGGGAAAGGAAAAATCCAGAACTCTTTCGTAATGAGTAAAGACAAAGATTTGAACAAGAAGACACCCATATTCCCATCATTCACAAGCCCACTGCGCCTCGTAAGCAGGACTGTGGTTAAAGTTCTGAACCTGTTGATCCAGAAGACAAAGGAGAAGCACTTTAATCTGAATGCAGGAAAAGATCTGAAGAAGGACCTAGTCACGATCAAAGAGAATGCTTTCACGATCAAAGAGAATGCTTTGAGAAATGACTGCGACATTATTGCGAGAACCTACGACACAAAAGAAATGTTCTAAAAAATACCCCACTCTGAGGTAAAGGATGCAGTAAAATGGATCTGTGACGAGTTGAGAGTTAAAGGGAGACAATGGGCAAGGGTAAAGACCAAGGGAAAAGGGGCATGCATTGGCAAATCCGTCGGAGAGTCCGGCTGGAAGTCAGTACATTTCAAAAGCCTGGAGAAATGTGTTGGCTTTATATTGGACAATGTGGTATTCAGATCCGTAGGAGAAATCCTCAGGCAAAAAAAGGGCATCCCAATGAGCAGACAAGCTAGCCCCCCATTGGCTTGCCTCGTCTGCATGTTTGTTGAATCGAAGTTCCTGAAAGGACTTGGTAAAGACGAGAAATGTTTGTTTGGAAAAAGGTACATGGACGATTTGCTTCTGCTAGGACTGCACAACAAAAGGAAAGCAGGAGATAATACGAGAGTGGAACGAATCATGGATAAAATCTCCGGATGCTATCATCCCGAACTGCGCCTCGAAAGAACCGATAACAATGAAAATGTGGTCGAGTTCTTAGAAATGAAAATTTTCGTTCTGAATGAACCAACAGAAGTATTCATCATGCATAAATTCAAAAACGCCACGAGCATTTGGGAGAATCCAAACAAACCCAGATATATGATTACTAGACACTTCTAGTCCTTTGCTCCGATGGAAAAGAGGATCGCTACTATCATTGGGACCTTGTACAGGATTCGGGCCAACACCAACAATGACGCGTTGCTCCCACAAACACTCATCACGTACCACAGGGAATTGAAAGGAGCTGGGTACCCGAGTCAAGTCTTTCTAAAATCCTTGGAAATCATGGCCGGAAGGGTGGGAGGGACTATATGGCCTGAGTTATCGAAGAGACTGGGAGGGTGCTACGGTGAATGGGACCCGGAATCAAGAAGACGGGGAATACGGTAAAAAACGACGAACGAATGGCAGCGCAATTGGACTGGCGAACAAGGCCCGGATGACAGGGGGATTTCGAGAAGATACTCGAAGACAGAAGACGCGCCAGCTACGAAGTCAGTTCCGAGCCTACAAAACCTTTCGGGAATCGGTATCCTCCACCGATAATGGTACTATTGTGACGCCCCAACCTCACGCCCAACGCGACTTCCTGATCGGAGTAGGATGTGGGCCTGGAAGTGCGAAAAGGGGTGTGCCAAAGATTTTTGGGGAAAGTGGAGTCCCAGGACAGAACTGAGATCTCCTATGGCAGGCTTTTTCGGGGGCACGAGTGCAATTTGGCGGGGAGGGCGGATTGCCTCTGGTCACGAAGCAGATGGTACGCGTGGGTTGCTTAGGGTCGGGCGAGCCATTGGTTTTGGGGGCGGCGGTTTGCGGGAGGGTCCCTTCGGGGTGGATGTGGTTCCGATGACTCAGGCCGTCGGGAGTTGCCACATGGCGCCGGCCATCGAGCGTTTGGGTTGGGCCTCCGGGGCGCCGGGGTCCTCTGATCGCCGCGTCGTTGGCAGTTTCCACAGGGCGTACTGGGCCAGTATGGGCTATGGCCGGCCACGGGACGACGCAAAGTTGGTGATACGGAAGGAGGAGGCGAAAGGGAGGGAAACTGGCGGTGATAATGACATATCCGGGGTGGATGAAGTAGTAGGTATGGTCCGGAGAAGGGAAATCAGAGCATCGGGGGTCGCTAGTGGTAGCACAGTGGAATTCCCGAGGACACAGTCGGTTCTCGGTTAGGCAGGGGTATCTCTGTCGGAGGAGTTCGTTTATCCAAGGGGTGAAGTAATCTGGGTCGTATGATGAGTCAAAATTCCAGGACCGCGTCATTGTGTCATTGCGGTATTATGAGTTGCCTAAGGGCGGGTCCGCGGTGATCGCGATTGCTGCGTGCGAGCACGTGCAGGCCATGCGAATGGACGCGTGCTCGTGCGGGACGACTGCGCCGTTGCGGATTCCGGGATGGCCACTCCCAATCGGACAGGGCATCTGCGATCGATGGTCCTGACGAGTCGACACCCAGGGATACGTGTAAGTGCGCAACTCAGATCGCGTTTTACACGTGTCCTCGCGCGGCGTTCGCCAAGCCCGACATCCGATCGTCTAATCACTCCGTGCTGTTCTGAGCATGCAAGATGCAATGATCGCAACCAGCTCGATCAAAAGACAAGCAAAGACAAGGACAGGACTATCGATTGCGCAAAATTCCTATTCTACACACGAGTGCATCGAATGCAACAAACGAAAGCAAAGACAAGGGTTCCCAACAAAAAGATAGGCAATCAAACATGGCATCCATACATCCATCCATTCAGTAATCATACACATAACACATCAGAGATGGAAGAATCGCGAGGGCAAATGTGAGCAAAAACCCAAGCCCAGATTCCGAGAAACAGAAAGGGAAAACAAAAACGGGCGAATCGCCCGAAGCCGTAAATCAAAATTTATGTACACAGGCAAAGAGGGGGAAAAGACAAAGAATCAGCAAATCCGCATCCATCCACCTCAACTCTCTCTTCCTCTCTCTCTTCTTCTCTTATGCGGACAGTCCGTCGTCGCGCACCAACCCACGAAGTCGTCACCCCGCTTAGTCCTCCCGCACCCGTCTGGTTCGCCCGCGCCCGCAGTCCGTCGTGGCCTGCGTCAACCCCGCGCGTTTGGCACCAGCTTGTCGGGTCGCCCGGCTCCTGCTCTACTCACCTCTTGCTTCGTTCGTGTGCCAACCCTCTCTGATCGCGCAACCCCGAGCTTCCAACTGCTGGTTAGGAGAGCTAACTAATCGTGCAGCCGGAATTTATAGCGTGCATGCGTGCTCGAAGAACACGGAATTATCGGGACTTAGAAGACGGGAAGGGGGAGGGATTGCCT